GGGCGCCGGGGACGCGGGGAGGTCTGCGTGCTGAGTCAGCCTCGGGAGGGCAGCTCCCCTGGTGACCTGGCACGGCCGACAGCCTCAGTTTCTCCTTTCCTGAGCCCTCCTCCCAGCCTCCTGCCGCTGGAAGGCGTAACAGGGGCAAGAGGAACACAGCTCGGGCCGGTTGAGGCTTGAAATCTGCTCTCTCCACTGGGACTTATCCATCCGTTTTACCCGCCTGACAGACTTTCTGGGTGAGCTGTAGATTGCTAACAGAGAGGGACTGTTTATAGAGTGATTGTGGAAAGCAAGGCCCGGGTCTCTGTGTGCTCTGCGACAGGACACAATGTGAACAGAGTATAGGGGGATAACAATGGAGGTTAAGTCCCTGAGAATTCTGGGAACCCCAAGGCCCCGGGCCCAGAGTCCTCTCCCAGGAGCGTGCGAGGGCGCGCTAGGCTGACTGTGCTGCAGGACACCTGACAGCCTCCCTCCTGGCCTCCCGCTCTGGACTCCTTGGGACTCCCGCGGCTCTGTCCCTGGCTCTGCTGTGCCCAGAGCCCTTGTGCTCACTGAATGTCCACCCTCCGCCTGCCTTGCTGAAGCCGGGTGCGGTGGATGGCTAGCCACCCCGCCATAAGGGCTAGCGCTGCCCCAGAGCACCCGGAGACCTCTAGTGAGGCAGGTGGGGGAGGAAGTGGGTTCTGGAGAGCTGAGCAGGTTGACAGGTGCTCCCGTCCGGGGAGGATTTGGGGGCCAGGAGTTGTTTGGCTTAGCTGGTCTTTTAGTTCTCCTGGGTGCATGTAGTTAGAAAATCAGCAGAGGCCATCAGCTTCTTGATAGGAACCAGACTGCTCCCACGACGTGGACTGCAGTGCCAAAGGCTGCCTCCAGTGTGTGGCGAGCCCAGTTCCAGATCAGCCCACACGTCCCAAACTCCCAGGCCCCTCTGCGCACAATGGCACTAGAGAGGCAAGGAATGCAGAGAAGCCCAAGAAATGCCAGGCATCGGGACTGCCCTGAGAGGTGTCCCACACCTAACACAAAGCCCCCAGGACTCCAGTGTACTTCACACTCGTGACCATGACTCAGGGGAGAAAGACCCCTATGTACTGGACCCCTTCTGCTGATATTTTTCTCCAAATATTTTCCAGCGGCGGTTTCTTGCAGACGCTATGAATGACAGTGACAGAGTGTCACTCATTCACAGATAGTTCTGCACCAGAGCAGAGAAGAGGGACAGCCATGGCCTCTGCTGCCTGCTGGGCACTGATGGTGTCCAGGAGACCCCAGGCTAGGCCAGCATGCATGTCCACTCTTCGGGACATCAGCCTGAGAGAGGAAAGCGCTGAACAAGACCAGCTTATTCCGAGACCTCCCCTGAGTGCAATGATCCAAAATAAACACACTTCTGGTTAACTCCTCCTGTCACCTCCAATCTCCAGGCCCTCCAGAGTGGAGCTTCCTTGGCTCTGCAAATGAGGGCTGGGGCTCCATGTCAGAAAAAGTCAAAGCTCAGTCATTTCACGCAGGAGGGTAGCGTGAAACTGTAACCAGGTGGCTCTTCTGCTGGTGGCCTTGCAGGAGAAAAGAGAGGCAAGGGGGCGAGAAGGGTGTGGACAGGCTGGGTCACCAGGAATCTGGGCTTTCCCATTTTCTCCAAGGCCTTAGCATCCTCCCGGCCGTTTCCCTGGAGCAGTGCTTCTCCAAAACGTGCCGGGAAGCCCTCACTTCCTCTCAGAGGACAGGGCAAATGTTCCTGAGGCCGTGGAGGAGGTCGCCTGAAGCTGCCCACAGCAAGCCTGGAGGAGCCTCAAAGTCTTAGGCCTTACCCAGAAGTCTGTGTGGCTTGTGTGTTTCTCTCCGTGGGTGTGTCGGCGAGAGTCCCTTGTGGCGAGTCACAGACACTGGTTGTGGAAGACTCTGCAGGAAAGAAGGGGTAGGGGGTCTCCAGGCTATAAAGGGTTGGAGAAAGGATTCCAGACTGAGCTTCCAGAACAGCGGAAGCACCACAGAGCTGGCCTGGTGAGGAAGCCTCTGCGGCCACCAAGGGGCACTAAACACTCCTTCCGCGCCAGGATCTTGATTTCATTGCAGCGGCGCCCGCTGCCAGAATGTGTCCTGGTGCCGTGCCAGGAACTTGGCCTTGGGGCCACCACTTCCAGCCGCTGCCAGACTGAGAGCGACTCTTCCCTTCACCGTTGCATCACCAGGTCCCAGGACAGGGCGGGACACAGGTGCATCTGATTGGCGTGACCGGGCCACACGTGTCCATGCTGTAGCTGCAAGGGAGGCCAGGAGAGCAGGCAACTGTCACTTTGCATTCCCACAGGGATGGCGGTCCTCCTCCAGTCCCCACCCGACATCAAGGCTCTAGAAGTGGGAGATTTGCCACATACAAAAAGAGGCAGGAAGACTGGAGAGTGAATGTCTTCTAAAATAAGGCTTCATATTTATGTGGTGGCGATCTGGAAGTGGAAATGGGTGTCGGTGTTACAAACATTCCTCCTGAATGATCCTACCTGAGTCCACCACCTGTTTTAATGCTTTTTTCACCGTCGTGAGTGTTGAGGGTCGCATCCGTTCCCCTAAGGGCATCTCATTCACAGGCAGCCTCCCTCAGATCCCGAAACAGCCAAGCTCCCCCTGCCCTGGTGTAACTCAGATAAGTCTGTAACTGGGGCATCGCTCATTGGCTCTGGGTCTCCCACTCACAGAATTTCATTATTCCACAGGATTCCAAGGAGTCGGAAACGGAGTCCGGAGATGGCAGAAATTAGAAGGAAACGACCTTCATGGTAAATCCTCTTTTTTTCTTTTTCCTTTTCTTTTCAATCTCTGGAGTTCAATGCATTGAATAATGCCTGGGAGGATGGGGTTTCCACTTGTTTCAAGATTGGCCCCGGACATCTAACCACCGAACAAGAAGTGGTTGTTCTTGACTCAACCAGGCCCCTAGGGCTACTGTGACCACGGGACGATGTCCCTGGCATAAGGCCCCCTGCTTTCCTGGAGGCTGTGGCTTCGGAGTAATGCCATGAACTTAAATACCCACTTGTTTGCCAGCTGAGCTGTAAGGGAGGACTCGGCATCCCTTGGGACGATGAAGTCTGAGTGTGTTTCCCACGGGAGGCATGGTTGTTCGTGAAGGCCATCCATCTTTCGGAAATGTTTCCCAATCAAGAGGACAATGGTCTTCTACGGGACTATATGACTGAGGCCTGAGGAGACGCCACTCAGGTGTTCTGTGGATCCCTGCTGGCCTGGGACCCAGAAGAGAAGTCAGTTTCCAAAGTCTCTTCTCTCCGGTGCCAGGTGTCTGTCACCCAGGCTGACCCAGGGTCTCTGTGGGAGTGCTGTGGACGGTCTGACGATAATGGCCTTTATTCTGTGCCCTCCAGAGATTCAGTAGCCCAGCTTCTGGGGACAAACATCAGTGACAATGTACTGTAGGCCCGTAAGAATTCTAATAAGAATCAGACTTTTCCTCCTCCACTGGGGACTGTGTCAGATCTCGACTATGTGAGCCCTGGGATCAGATAACTGGTCATCTATGCCAGTTTAAAGCACCCTCCGTGACCCTCCATAAAGGAGGAAACGGGACTGCAGATAAGTAAGGCTAAGCAGCTATCCTCTGCCATCCTTCTGACCGTAATAAAAGGGAAGGATAAAATTCTAAAAATAAATTCATCCATTCATTCCATTAACAAATGTCTACAGCGCTTACTGTGTGCCAGGAACAATCCCAAATGTTGGAGATGGGACAGTGATTACAGCAGCCAAGAACCCTGCCTTCACGGGTCTAGACTAGAATCATAATATTCACTGCAGGCGCGTCTCAACGCCCTGGAGGTCAAGAGCTTTGCCGTGTCCCCTTGCCCTACTCGTGGGTAGGAGTCGTCCTCAAGACATGTCCTGCCCACCAGGGGAGCCACCCCTCAGTGTCCTGGCTGATGGGCATGCATGGGCGCAATGGCTTCCTGCAACTGGCTGCTGGGGCCATCAGTACACCGGGTAGACATGCCAGCTTTCGCTCTGCCAAGGCAGACGCCAAAGCGAGCAAAACTATGCTGTGGGCTAGTGAGAATGACCCTAAGAAGCAGACCGCCAGAGATCTTTTGCGTACTCCACCAGCACGTGCAGGACCGTACAGGGCACGCAAAGCCTGCGAGCTAGGCCCGGGTGTGCTGGTGAGCGGGCAGGGAGGCCACAGGTGGAAGCCGGAGGGAGACGCAACATCCTTGTTTATGGCCGTGCTCACTTACCTCTCCTGAGTTGTCCGACATGCGTCTTAGGGCCTCTCGGGCGTGTTATTACATCAGGAGAGGACTGAAACACACTGAATTCATCCTGTTTTTACCAACTCCGGATTTCTGATTTGGGAGAAGGTTAGTGGAAAAATACAACAAAACACAAAGTGTCCCAGTGACTATTACAAGTCCGTTACAAGACTCTTGTAAAAGACATGAAGTGGGTCTTAGTACAATGCGTCAGCCAGTAGAGGATGAGGAAAGTGGTTCCTGTGAAACCACTCTGAGGACTGAGAGTTTCGGGTAAATGCAGGGCTGGGGATGAGACTCTGCAGAGGCCCCAAGCCCAGAAAAGGTCTGCCTCCTGCACTTCACCAACATATGTAAAGTAAAACTTCGTTTATTTTTCAAAGGGGACATTATCGTGCATGCAGAAATTAAAATTCGAGCTCCTCTGTGTCTTCTGATGTCAAGATTTTGGGCACAGGTCTTGCTGGTGCCCAAGGCACCCAGCGCCGGTAACCAGTGGGCCGCTCAGCCCTGGACACCGGATGGCTTTCATCTGAGAAGGAAACGGCTGACGGCAAGCGCACCTACACTCAGCTGCATGTGGGGTTGATCCAGAAGGGCACACTTGCCCCCTTTGCTGCCCATCCTCGGGCTGGGGCGCTGGCGAGGTGTGAGGGAGCCTGGAGCACTCCAGACTTTTCCAAGTGGCAGGTGTGTTTGGGCCCAGCCAACCACCCCCGCCTCCCATTCCTTGCCCGGCAACGGGCTTCCCCTGCTGTGATTGGCTGCTCTCCTCGGTCCTGGCCAAAGTCTGCCTAGCAGCACAGGGACGGGCGCCCCACGGCCCCCGGGAAACCAGTTGTGCAGCCCTGACTATAAATACCCGGCAGCAGCTATGCCAGCCAATCGCCCTGCTTGAGGATTCCCTTCCCGGATCCCGTTTCCTCCCCCGGCCAGCCGAGATGTCCCGCCAGCTGTGCCCACAGAAGGCAGCTTCCATGTCCTCCTCAAGTCTGGGCTGGGGCTCCAGCCCCACGTGCCGCATCACCCTGTGTTGGAATACATGGTGGACCTGGCCCTTGACCGACTCACGGGGGTGCAGGGACCTGGGCTGCCCATTCCTAGGGGAAGGCCAGGGCAAGCAAGCTTTCCAGGACAAGACCTTGCCAGGGGGATCACGAGCCCAGCCCCACCCGGAGCCCCACCCACCCTCCTTGACTGGCTTCTGCTCGGACCCAGGCATGGGAAGCACTGAGTGGTCAATCCGGCTGGGGGCACAGGGAAAGCCATCTGAGTGGAACCTGTTCGGGACAGGCCCCAGAGGCATACTTGCTCCCAGACCGAGGCACTGGCCCTAGAGGCCACTTCTAGTGGTGAGCCCACTGCAGGCCAGTACAAAGCCAGTGGGAGAAGATGGCAGTTCGGGGTGGTAGTTCTGGAAGAATCTCTGGCTGCAACAGTCCTGCCCCTCGCCCGGCCCCTCCCCTGACCTCTCTGAAGTAGAGGTCCAAAGGCAGCTTCCAGGCCCTAGCAGGAGAGCTCGTTTCCCGTGGGAGAGGCCTGTAAGCCTGTGAACTCCCGTTCGAGGTCTATGGCAGGAACTAGGCGTCTGTCTACGGCAGCCTGACCCTACTGGGCTCTGCTTCCCGGGAACAGAAATACCCCCCGTGTGTGGAGAGGACACGTGTAGAGTGGGTGCCCTGCAAATGTCGTGAAACCGAACTGAACTGCCCGGCATCCCAGTGCCCAGGCTGGCCCCTTTCTTAGGGAAAGGCAGGAGATTAAGTTAGGGGGTCAGCAAACTTAGGGCTCCAGTGCCAGGTCTGAGTCTCCCAGCCTGCCCCCCAGGAAGGTGTGAAGATATGAGGCGTCGTGTCTGGGAAAGCGCTTTGGAAACTGTGCGTGCTGACACCCAAGTCGGGAGCTATGGCTACCTAGACCAGGGGAGGTCTCACCAGCTGCTTCCAGAAGAACCCCAGCCTGGGCTGCGTGAGGGGTATGTGCACACAGCCTCCTGGGCTCTTGCCTCCACGTTCAGGCTTGTCGCTGTACGGGTTCGTGGGCATGCACGCCACGAGGGTGTGCACGCACCTAGGCGTGTGGACAGGCTCGGCCCCGCCAGCCCACCTTTCTTGCAGACGCACACAGCTCTCGGCTCTGCCTTGGGGAGAATTCCGCCACGGTCCCCTGTGGTCACGGCAGTCCTCTCTGTCTTCCTAAAATAGGAAACCTGGCGGAGAAGCAGCACACTCAGCAACCCCAGGTCATCACTTCCTACGACAGCCAAGGTAAGAGATTCGCCACTAGCCACGACCTCCCCGCGGCTCTGTGCCCAGATCTGCTGTCTCAGCCAGAGACGGGCCCGATGTGAGGGGTGGGGCACAGACTGTGGGGAACAGGGTCTTCTCTGCCCTGTGAATGTTACAGCACCTGTTTCCGCTTCCTGCATCTCAGGGGAAGCAGTGAAAAGCTGCACGGTTCGAGCCCACCTCTCACCGTGGGATCAAGAAAAAGTCCCTGGCCCTCAGAGCCCATTGCTGTCATCATCATTGTTGCCACCACTGATATCACTATAGCTAATATTTGTTCAGTGCTGACCAAGTGGCCGGCACTCTGCCAAGCCATTGACACGTATTCTCGGGTAAATTGAGCTTTCCAAGCAATCCTGCTTGATAGGTACTGCTGCTATCTTCATTTTACAGAGGAGTAAACTGAGGCTTCGAAGGGGTATCAAGTGTTCAAGATCACAGAGCTGGGCAGTCTGACTCCATGCAAGACCTCAGTTGTTAACTTTGGCCCTGCTTCTGAGGCTCCCCTGGAAACCCGTCATCCCCCTGCTGGCTCATGGCATCCAAGCCCGCCTGTGTCCTGGGTCACAGCGGTTTTGAGGCCTTTCCTCCTGAGACTGAGCCAACCCAGGGCATTCCACCCGGTATGAGTTTGCCACAGCAAGGCGGAGTGAGAGGGCCCTTACTTTTCGGTGACAGGCTCTGAGGACCCTGGAGGGCAGGCACAGGTATCACTTACTCTGTAGCTGACTGGATCTGAGAACCTGGTGGGTGGAGGCGGGGGGTGCTCCCTGGCTGGAGGTGAAGCCTGGTGAGAGACTTCCTTGCCCACCTCGGTTAAGCATTCTGCACTAAAGACCAGACCCTGGTGTCTGAGCACTGTCAAGGGCTGAGCCCTGAGGATTCACCATAGGTGCTCTCAGAGCTGATGTCCTAACCTGTGGGGAAATTATCTGATCAGTTCAGGGACAGCAAGTACCCGTCCCTCCCTCTGGAGACCCCAGGCGTCCGAGCCTCCCAGGGAATTGCTGTCTGAAATACAGGCTGCCTCAGCATCTTTGCAGAAAGGCCCTGCAAAGCGGAACAGAGCCATCAACTCGGGTCACCAGCACAAGGAGCTGGCTCTCCCACAGTGTGGATCGGTATTCCTTTAGGCCAGAATTCCTGGGAACATGGCTGCAGGACAGGTCTCGGAGACCTCTGGGGGCCCACCGAGATCTGCCCCAGGCCTTCCGCTTCTCTGAAATAGACTCAGCTGCGCTCGGCTCGCCAAAAAGCAAAACTCAAGGAGATCCCCTGCTTTCGTGAGAGTGGATTAGCACCCACTTATCTCACTTGGTGAGCAAAACGGACAAAGGCTCCCGTCTCCTTCCAATGTGAGGAGAGACGGACGGTCCTAACAAGGAAGACACAGTGAGTCAGAGGAGGCTGAGTGGGAAATAAAGCGAGAAGCGTGATGAGGCGTGGAGGTGGAGGGATGGGCTGCAGGTGTACAGGCTTGTGTGTCAGTTTCCTGCGGCTGCAGTAGCAAATTTCCTCAGATGTGATGGCTGAAGGCAACACACAGTTATTGTCTTACACTTCTGGAGGTCAGTAATTCAAAGTCAGTCTTACTGGGCTAAAGGAAAAGCAGCATCGAGGCTGGTTCCTTTGGAAGGCTCCAGGGGAGAACCCATTCCTTGCCTCTTCCTGCTTCTCTGGAGGCTGCCGGCATCCCTTGGCTTGTGACAGACATCTCCCTGTCTCCCTCCTTTGAGGACAGATGTGATTGCATGTAGGGCCCAGCCAGATAGCCTGGGATAATCTCCCTGTCTCAAGATCCTGCATTTCACCCCATCTGCAGTTTCCTCTGTCGTAGAAGATAGCATTCACAGATTCCAGGGACTCTGGAAGAGATATCTTTAAAGGCCGTGATTCCGCCCACCACAGGGGACAGTTTAAAATAGAGTAGATGAGCTGGGCGTGGGGGCTCACACCTTAATCCCAGCACTTTGAGAGACAGAGGCAAGAGGATTGCCTGAGACCATGGGTTCGAGACCAGCCTGGGCAACATGGCGAGACCTCATCTCTACAATAAATCAAAAAAATTAGCTGGGCATGGTGGTGCATGCCTGTAGTTCCAGCTACTTGGAAGGCTGAGGCGGAAGGACCGCCGGAGCCCAGCAGGCCGAGGCTGTGGTGGCTGTGAGCAGCATGCCACTGCACTCCAGTCTAGGCAGCAAAGTGAGACTCTGACTCAGAAAATAAATAAGTAAATAATAAAATAGAATAGAGTGGGTGAGGAAGGTCTCACGAGAAAGTGACACTTGAACAAGGAAAGAAGGAGCAAACCGAGTGGGCATCCAGAGAAGAACTTCCAGCTGACGGATCAGCGGGTGTGAAGGTCCCCAGGCAGGAGTGTGGGTGTGAGTTCAGGGAACAGGTGGCCGTGCTGTGGAAGGGTGGGGGGCATGAGCAAGGTGGGGCTATCAGAAGATGCGGCAGAGAGGACGCAGGGCAGAGATGGCAGGGCCTGGGAGGCTGCCCAGGGTGCTGGCTGCTAATCTGAGTATGAATGGGAACCATTCGATGGTTTTAGACACGGCAGCCTCCAGGAGGTTGGAGAGTAGACAGAAGGGGCGGGGTTGGAAGCCAAAGACCCCTCAGGGGACATCATGACCATCCCCGCAAGAGAAGTGCCCCCGGGGTGTGAATTCGGGGTGTACAAGAAAGAGGAGTCGAGGCTTGGGACCTGAGCAGTGGGGAGGTGGGAGATGAGGGAGACACAGGAGGAGCAGGTGGGGAAGAAACTTGAGTTCAGACTTGGCCTTGTCGAGGCTGGTGCCGCTGCCTCCCATGTTGGAAAGCAGTGGTCAGGGAGTTATGATTCCATCCAATGAGCCTTGGCATCCTTGGGCTCTTCTGTGGACCCTACCATCCGCTAGGAGCTTTCTCGGAAGCCTTTTCTGTCACAGTCATAGCAGCCACTGGAATGGAACACTTGGTGGGCTCTGGACATTAAACCCAGCCCCTTTTAGGGTCCCCCTCATTTCATCCCCACAACTACCTTCCATGGGAGGTCATCATCCCTATTTTACAGATGGGGAAGTTGAGGCTCAGAGAGCTCAACTCTGAATGACTTGCCTGGGGTGACATAACCAGTGCGTGCCGTATCCAGGAGTTAAACCCATATCTGTGTGTTTCTGGAGCTTAGCTATGCCACCATACTGCCTCCTCTATTCAGGATGGTGATCAATCTGGCGAGGCAGAAATGGGTACAGCATTCCCACCCAAACCCCACCCTCAGCATGAAAGGCAGGATTTCAGTCAGAACACACTTTCTCCTCATCCTCGGCTTCTCAGTCAAGGCAGACTCCACGCAACCGGTGGCAAAGGCCCACTGGAATCTTGGGTCACGTGGAAGGGCCTCGGAGACAGACCTGTGGGTCAGGTGGGAGGAACGTGGTCACTAAGAGCCCCAGAGGCTAATCTCAAGGAGTTGGCTTTCTTTGGGGGCTTCTGTCCTCCCAGGTGGTTAACCCTTATCCCCATGCAAACCCTCGATGGAGCGGCCTTCTTTGATCATCAGGCACTGGGGACAAATGGCCACATTTCCAGGCCTGGGACTTCCCAGTGGAGCTTCACCCTGCAGAAAGGATCGTGAGGGAGTCCTGTGTTTTCAAGAGCCCTGTGGAAACCAGGGTCCGTCAGGGCTGCAAGAGACACCTTTCATCACACACCAGCCGGCGCCCAAATGGTCTCAGCCCTGAGCTCTGGCTTACCAGATAGTCAGCTCAGAAGTAGAGTGGGGCTTCTGTGCTGCGTCTGGCAGAACCTGGGAAGCACGTTGCTCCATCAGTATTCCACAGAGCCAGAGAGTCCCTGGTTTCGTCCCCACCACGAAGCATCCTGGTTTCTGTGGTGTCACGCCTCACCGCCATTGCCTGACCATTGCATCCTGGGCAGGACCACAGCATGTCTCGTTTGAAGATCTAGTCTGGGTCTGTTTAAAGGTGCTTTTTAAATTACATGCTTTAGTTAAGATAGTCCGGACTCTTGGCTACTACAGGAAAAAAAACTCCAAGGCAAAAAAAAAATCCAGATTGTAAGTGTGTCAGTCTGTTTGAGAAAAAGTTAGCAAACACCTTAAGCCAATATCTCACATGAATCCTGTGACCCCTACACACACATACATACCTGCATGCCCATGCGCACACACATCCACACACCTGACAGTCTTTGTTAATTGATCGCTTCAGGCAGCCATTTCCAATCAGTCAGAGTTAATGAACAACGTGAAACCTGTTTGCCATCCCGCATTAGGTGTTCTGAGCAAATTAGGCCTTTGGATAAATCCTGGTGGGAACCTAAAAAGATCTGCGGAGATGGTGCCAGAGAGGAGACACCTACTGACGGGGAGAAGGCAGGCAGGCAGTAAGCTTGGAGACGTGTGTGCCTGACTGTGTACACCTCCATTTCTGAGAGGGTGGGGAAAAGGCAGGAGAGCCAGTAGGGCTTAGAAAAAGGGCCGGGGAGCCGCCTCTTAGGGCTGGCAGGAGTGACCAACAGCACACTTTGACCAAGACTGCCAGGGCTGCAGCTTCCAAAATGCTATTGGTTAACAACTTCGAGAGCTGGGAGGAGTACATGAGAGAGGCCAGCCTGGCCTCCTGGAATCCCAGGAAGGGCCTCCTTTGGGTTTGGCTGTGACGGCTCGTGGTCATGACGAGGGTAATGGTACCTGGCTGTGCCTAGGGTCTAGATCTGACTGTGAATTTTGCTCCCAACGATGCTCCACTCTCTATAATTAGAAACTGGTAGAATTCTTTTTTTTTTCTTAAACTAAGAGTTGTCTTTGATACAGGGATGTCACAGTGAGCAAGCTCTCTTCACTTCACAGTTTTAGGATGCCTGAAGCTGTATTGTGAATGCTACGCACCTTCAGAGAGTGGGCCCAGCCCAGGCCCAGTTCCTGGAGCCAGCAAAGCCTCCCAGAAGTGCCCTTACACACCTGTAAGTGA